TCAGCTAGGCAGCCAGTTAATCAAGCAATTAAGAGATGCCAACATAAATTTAATGGCGCTAGCTTATTCTAGTAAAAACAGCCATTCTGCAATCTTTTCACCAAGTTTGGATTTTGAATTAGGTACAACAACTTGAAGCCATTGGGTTTGGGCAGAAATAAAATGGAGCAGATATGAAACAAATTTGTTTGGGCTGCTTATGTGAAGTGTATTATTTAGTATTTTGCATCTAAATTCCTGTATTTATTGTCAAAAGAATGACTGGTTCCTTCAATCATCATCTCTTCGCTTTGTTAGTCTTTATTGTTGAGAGAGATCCATAAAGAAAAATGTCCAAGAATGAAACTATTTTCACTGTCCTTAAAATGGCCTTAGTTCCCACATCTAGAAAGTTAAATAATTATTTGTGTATTGAAACATATTGAATAATAAATATCCATGCGTGGCTTGAATAGATCAACTCTAGTACGACACGGTGTCATGCAGAGATTGCCACAATGTTAAGTACTACCTAGGGTGACTAGAGAAGTTGAGCTGCATTTTAAAAAAAAAGATGCTTTATATCATGTTCTTTGTGTGAACTGTCATACATGTTTCTTGGTGATGTGGAAGGTGAGGCTGTAGATGCTTCTTTTCCCCTTTGAGGACTTTGTCGTCTCATTTTCTTGTGTATGGTTATATTATGGTGATAGCCTCTTGAGGACTCTCTAAGTTATGGGTTCACAGTAAAGGGATTGGGATTACAAGGTATGAAATACCTGGATGTCCTTTTATAATATATATCTATGTATCTTTAGTACCTTGGTCTCCCCTGATTATGTTGGAGAGTGTGGTTTTGGTTTTGAGGAAGTAACTTAAACATATCGAGAACTTGTAGTAGTAGATTGAACCTAAGCTATTCTACATTGTTTTGGCATGATACTTAGTATTCTTGTTTGAAATAACAGGAGGAAGGATGTTGTATCTTTCTTGGGTAAGTTGGCCAATGAAGGGAAGGATGTTGTATCTTTTTTGGGTAAGTTGGCCAATGAAGAGATGGTCAATGCAATGCATGTTCTGCTTTTGTATCTACGAAGCGCTCTAGATGATGAAAAACCTTCGGTTGCCATACTTATGCTGCACTTTGATCTACTAGTATACTTTCTTGAATATTCATTTTGTAGTTTTTGGGATTTTATTGGATTTTGAATTTGATATTTGTAACTTCTCTTCTTGCCCATTTTTTGAGTTGCATCCGTAAGATATGCCTCGGTGAGTATAACGAAATTTTATGGTGATTAACTTGGTATTGGAATTTGAAGATGCAGTGTGAATTTGCAGATTTAATGAAGCCTACTCTTATTTTTTGGTTATCTATTCCAGAAAATTATGGCGAGATAACACTTTGGTGCGGGTAGAACCTCGGAAGTACAAAGCATATACAGAGAGAGGTCAGTCGTGGCAATTTCTGCATAAGTTATGCAAATGAGAGGTTGCAACGACATTTCAACTGGCATCTGTTAAAACTGGAGCAGGAAGTGAGCATCACACATGGACCGTATCTTTAGTAGTTTTGTTTAGTATTTATATCTTTGGGATTGTCGCTAAAAAGCATGATATTCTTTTTTTGATTCATTTTGTGTCATTATTTATTATGCAAGATTATTTATTCTCTCATTATGTGTACTATAAAAAAAAAAAATTTATGTCATTCTTGTGGAAAACGTTGATAAATGTATTTCATTTTCATATTATTATAATATTTTGACATTAAGCACTCAATGTTAAATATAAATTCTAGAAATTAAATTTTCTTTTAATTAGGTTAAAAATCAAAAAATAAAATATTAGATTATGTTTAAATTCATGGCAAAATTCGGATTTTGCCATGAATTTTGTAATGAACTTTGCCACGAATTGGTTTTCGTCGCAAATTACTAACGAAAATTCAAATTTTTGGCTGCCAAAATTTTTGAAAAAAATTTGCGACGAATTTTTTTGTTCGTTGCTAATTTCGTGGGAAATTCATTTTGTCACGAATAATTAGCGACGAATGTTGTTACGATTTTTGCAACTAATAATTAGCGAAGAATTTTGTAACGAATTTAGTCACGAATTTATCTACAAATTTTGCCACGAATTTGTTTTTGTCGCAAATATTACAAACGAAAAATTAAAATTTTTTGTGGCAAAAATTTTCGTCGCCGAATTAGCGACTAATTTTTTTTCGTTGCTAATTTCGTCGGAAATTCGTTTTTGCCACGAAATTTTACCACGAAAATTGAAATTTTTTGTCGTAAAAATTTGCGACGACGATTTTTTGTTCGTCGCTAATTTCGTTGGAAATTCGTTTTCTAACGAATTTTGTTAAATTTTTCGTGGCAAAATTCGTGGTAAAACCCTTGTTTTTTTTCGAAAAAAATTCGCGATTTCCCACGAATTTTGTTTTCGTCGGAAATTACCAACGAAAATTGAAATTTTTTGTCGAAAAAATTCGCGATTTCCCACGATTTTTGCAACGAATAATTAGCGACAAATTTTGCAACGAATTTTCCCACGAATTTAGCCAACAATTTTTTTTTCGTCGCAAATTACCCACGAAAATTGAAATTTTTTGTCGGAAAAATTCGCGATTTCCCACGATTTTTGCGACGACTAATTAGTGACAAATTTTGCAACGAATTTTCCCACAAATTCAGTCACGAAATTTGTTTTCGTTGCAAATTACTAACGAAAATTGAAATTTTTTGTCGCAAAAATTCGATTTGCGACGAATTTTTTTTCGGCCCTAATTTCGTGGGAAATTCATCGTGCCACGAATTTTGCCACGAATAATTAGCGACGAATTTATCCACGATTTTTCCAACGAATTATTAGCGACGAATTTTGCCACGAAATTTTGCAACGAACTTTGCCACGAATTGATTTTCGTCACAAATTACCAACGAAAATTCAAATTTTTTTTTGCTAATTTCGTGGGAAATTTTTTTGTTCGTCGCTAATTTCGTGGGAAATTCATTTGCCACGAATAATTGGCGACAAATGTTGCCACGATGTTTCCAACGAATAATTAGCAACGAATTTGGCAACGAATTTTCCAACAAATTTAGCCACGAATTTATCTACGAATTTTGCAACGAATTTTTTTGCGTCGGAATTTACCAACGAAAAAATAAAATTTTTTGTCGCAAAAATTTCCGACGACGAATTAGCGACGAATTTTTTTCGTCGGAAATTCGTTTTGCCACGAATTTTACCACGAATAATTACCGACGAAGTTTACCACGATTTTTGCAACGAATAATTAGCAACGAACTTTCCAACAAATTTTGCCACGAATTTTGCGACGAAAAAATTTCGTCACAAATTACCAACGAAAATTTAAATTTTCTGTCGCAAAAATTTGCGACGACGAATTACCAACGAATTTTTTTTCGTTGGAAATTCGTTTTCCAACGAATTTTGTCAAATTTTTCGTGGGAAAATTCGTTGAAAAACCCTTGTTTTTTTGTAGTGAAAGCACATTACAAAACGCGGAAAACGTGTCTATTCTATACTTGATTCACCGATCGAGCGAAACATATTACGTAAAGGCACATATCTCTTTACCACAGATTAAATGAACCTATTGTAGTCTCGAGAGAGAGAGCGATTCTTTAATTGTCGAGTAAAGTCGTTTTTTGATTTTAAGTGAGTGAGAGTTTATGACAGTGAACCAAATTCACTTACTGAATACAATTTGTGTTCCGGCCTGTACACACGCACTCCCAAAAGCAACAATAAATAGATTAATTAAATTAAGAAAAAAGGGATGGGACAAGAAGGAGATCACATCAATTATGACGTCAGGAGTGAGATGTCACGGATGAGATGCTTTGGACGAGAGGGGGGCTGCTTGCGGTCCCGTGAGCTGGGGTCGGAGATATCCGACGGGTCCACGGTTCAATCTCAGCCTCATGCACATAAGTCAGAGTCCAAAAATTCTCACTCTCACTCTCTCTCTCTCTCTCAAGATCGCGATCAAATGATAACCGAGCTCTTCGTCTCGATTGATCTCGTGGATATGCATGCACATTTAAGGAACATGATCCCCGACTCGATTATAGCCGGAAGATATCCCGTGATTTGAATCTCAAAACCTAGTACATCCAAATCGAGCACGCATAATGTCTCGTAAGGTTAGATGAGTTTTGCTATCATTATTACTTTCTCATGAATCATTTCGAGCTTACTAGGGAGAAATAAAATTGTGGCGAATGCATCTCATCGAGACTTATATATGGTATTTGTTAGTGCTAATTCGATTTTCTAGTTGGGATTGTATGTTGTGGTTGGAATCGCGGCACGTTTTATTGTCCTGTTCAAGCGAGCAAGCATAAAAACAATAGTCAATGAGTCAAAAGATCAGTTTTTTTTAGGATAATGCTGTGAGGTACGAACACAAAGAATTATCACTCGACAAATTAGTATGGTTGAAAAGCAATGAATAATATATCATATTACTCATAATTCATTACGTAAGATTTAAAGAGAAATTGCGTCCACGCTAAAGTATCTTAGTAGTCATGTGCATTATCATGTGGGCCCGTAAGATTATTTGGCCATCGTATCGAATTATCGAGTCGAGTATCATAAGTCGTGTCAATGCAATACGTTTTTCTTTTAGTGACATGGTAACAGTCTGATTAATACCCCAATGTTCAAAAACCACACATTGAACTTGCACTTTAGATTCCGACCAAAAAAAACACTTGTATCTTAGATTAGGTGAATTATATAATGCCGATTTCTCGATCAATAACACATACATACATGTCCAGGAATTTTTTTTTCCTTGAGCGAAGATATTTGGCAAAATAAAAGAAAAGGTGTATATCCTAACTCGTATTGAAGAGTGCATTCGTTTAGTGAGCTACTACTTCTCTATACTTCTTGAATAAAACTTGCGCGTACGTGCGTACATGACTAAAGCTAGGACAGTCCCAAGTAAGCACAGACATCCCCAGATGACAAACGTCGTGCTATAACACTCCATCCCCATGCACTTCCCGTCGCCGCCTCGCCGGCTGCGGTAGAGCAACGTCGCGGCGTATCCGAAGACAAAGGACCCAATCGGGATGTTGGTGACAAGGATGTTGTGGTACTAGAGCACCGCCATCATCGGCATCTGCACTGGGGCCATCACGTCCATCTCCGTGGCAACCACCACCGAGCTCTTCGGGACCAAGAACTTCGGCGTGAACCAAGATGACAAACGTCGTGCTATAACACTCCATCCCCATGCACTTCCCGTCGCCGCCTCGCTGGCTGCGGTAGAGCAACGCCGCGGCGTATCCAAAGACGAAGGACCCAATCGGGATGTTGGTGACAAGGATGTTGTGGTTCACGCCGAAGTTCTTGGTCCCGAAGAGCTCGGTGGTGGTCGCCACGGAGATGGACGTGATGGCCCAGTGCAGATGCCGATGACGGCGGTGCTCACGTAGAGCGCCGCCATGGCAGGGCTGAGGAGCAGGAAGTAGGCACCGACCATCGGTGCCATCAGTACCGCCATTGATGCCGGTCTCGACACCACGTACTTTCTGCTGAAACAGGAAGAAAAAGAAAAATGTTCACTTTATGATTTAGCTTTTGGACCATGACTTAAAGTCTCAGGACGTTAAAGAACGTTGTCCCAAAAGCTTTAGTGTCCGTTCAAATGTAACAGACATTGATCCTCGCTCCAACATTGGAACAAAAGAGCCAACTTTTCACCTATAAGTGGACGGACAAAAATGCAAGACAGCGATAATTCATACGGCGAATTTCTTCGAGTAATGTAATATTATGTCATCCGATGCAAGCACATACGTGAAAACAGTTTCTTATAATCGACATGCACTGAACAATATCTTATCTTCGTATGCATAGAAATCTCTTATGGAGAACGTGCCTAACATCTCTTGTAGAAATCTCTTCTCTTATCGGGCTTCAGGTCCCTCCCGCCTTCGAGCGGCCTGGCTCGCATGTGTTTTCACTAGCTAGGAAATAAGGACAATTAATGCTGAATGCCATGAAGTCTAGACTTAAAGTCCAGACCCGATCAAGCAAGACATTTACGTGCAAATGCTATGGTTGTCCGTCCACTTCAAACTATGGACTAGTTGATGAACTCCACCATCTACCAAGGGCTGAGCTACGTGGTCGCGATCGACAACTTCCCGCTCCACCGCCAGCTCGCCGTCGGGCTCACCACCATCTACCAAATTTTGAGCGCCAGTGTCTACACGGATATAGTTGACGCCGCACTCAACAAGCGCGGCGTGACTGAGGCTAGAGCTAAAGCATATCTGCTTCTCAATTCAGTCCTGCCAATGGACGTGCGCATTTTTGCCCGCCCCTGGACCGTCTGCATTGACAACCCGAACTAAAGGCGCGGTGGCATGCGCACGGCCATTGGCAGGACTGAGTTGAGAAGCAGATATGCTTTAGCTCTAGCCCCAGTCCCGCCGCGCTTGTTGAGTGCGGCGTCAACTATATCCGTGTAGACACTGGTGCTCAGCCCTTGGTAGATGGTGGTGAGCCCGACAGCGAGCTGGCGGTGAAGTGGGAAGTTGTCGATCGCGACCACGTAGCACACCGTGTTGATCCAGCAGATGCTTTTCCCGGCGAGGACGGCAAGGAGAAACATCCCGGGGTACGAGACCGAGGCGACCTTGCCAGCCACGAAGAGGTACTGGATGCCGTTCCCGGCAAGCCCAAGCAACGCGCCCACCAGGAGGACGAGCCAGAGCGGGAGGTACACCGCAGCGATCCCCGAGAACCACACCAACAGCTTGCCCGCGTCGGAGGCGAAGGCGAGGTTGTTGAGCTGGACCTGGGAGATGGAGAGGACTTGCTTGAGCTGCGAGGAGTATGCCGGGAAGTTGGTGTTCGTCCCAGCGATGGTCTGGAGCCAGATCACGGCCACGAGGCAGAGCCACTGGGCCAGTGATGAAGGCATCGTTCTCGGTTAATATTTGCTCCAAGTGTTGCGCGCAGGTCCTCCTTTTATAACATCGGGCAGCGACGAGAACAGAAACAGACTGACAAAACAAAAGGACAGAGGAAAGATGGACGACGGCGAGGATCCCGTACAAGGTTTCTAAGGTGGGAGATGGAGGTTGGGGAGGGACAAGCAGAGAGGGATGCAGCGAGAGATCGACGATGTGTCTTTTCGATGGACATATGGCTCTGCCGAAGACAATGTGATCACGCGAAGGCCATCACCTTTGAGCCCCCATTAATGGTTCCCTGAGGTGGGTGTGTGCCAAGTCCAACAAGGGCTTATATAGTGATCTCTCTTCGGGTCCTGTGCGGTTGGGGCATGACTGAAACGGATTCCCAGAAATCGCGGAAAAAGGGGAACACATTCTTTAGATGCAGCTCGTGTCCGACGCGGCTATTGTGAAGCAGTGCCGGGCGTGACAAGGCTGGGGGAGTCGAGAAGGCTGCAATGCGTGACCGAGGAACCTGCAAGAATTACCTGGACGATTGGGGCTCGCTCATGCCTTCATGCTCCCAGCTCTCAACAACTTTTCTCGATTTTTCTCTTCTGGCCGTGAATTCTCTCCCTGTTTTTCTCTTCACGATTTTCTTTTTCTCTCAATGGTGGCCGTGTATGTCAATTTTTGTGGCCTCCTCTTCATGTCCGTGTACGCTCCTTAAATAGCCAGTATCCCGGGCTCCACTTGATCATCAAAATATATTCTTCGTATCGTGCAAATAATAATATTCAATGGAGTCCAGCTTGCGAAAATTCTTCCCAAACTCTCCGTAAGATATTATCTCCACTCGTTGCCTTTTGCACCCACCTCCAGCTCAGTGTTTAATATCTTGCTGATCTCGTCTCTCGCTCGCTTTCTTTATTCATCAAAATTTTGATGGATCAATTAACTTCCATAAAGAATAAAGATTTCTCAATTTGCTTGACAGGTGCAACGCCCATGCAATTTTTGAGATTATGGTGAATATTCAACGGGCTTGGCTGAATTCCACATTCTTGTGGACTTAGCCCAAATTAACTCGGGATTTCCCTCACTTGAATCCATTCGTTGCCGGTCCAATTTAAATGCAACCATATGAGCCGATGAAAATGCTTCTACTATCTATATGCTATGCCATCTAAATATATTATTTTTTATTTAGGAGTTAAAAATTAATCCGTAATTTTTGTGCAAATATTTTCAAATAGTAAGCCAAAATTTAGGTGTCAACATTGTTTTATCAATATCTCGTGCAGCAAACTGTAGATGGATCCGGATTTTTTCCACTATGTACAAATTGCATTGGACTGGTGGTAACTTGGCGGTGAAGCTGCGATTTTTTGCTTATTTGAGTTAATGATGGGTCTCACTTGAACAATGGCTTGATGGTCTATCCTATTTATGCAAAGAAGAGCAAAGGACCTAATCGTCATCACCCTCTTTCCGTCGGTGAAAGGACGGGTTTAGAAGTAATGCCAAAGGTGGACCAACGGTCCTCAATCGGCACGCGTTCTCCTAAACCCTTACCTTGCGCGACATTTGAATAGTCAATTTTAGTTTCAATTAATCCTACAAGAATTATAAATGAGGAGTCGCTACTAGCCTAGTGGGGTGGGCTAGAAACCAAATGAGTTATAGGAGCATACCTCACTTCCTACACGACCAGAAATGTAGGGTCGAGGACTTGATTACGCTAGTTATCTAACCAATGCTCTTCAATACCTAAACTTGATTATTTGTTAGTCCAAGGAGTCTTTTTACAAAATTATGAATCCTAAGATCTCGCCTGCTAGGTGTCCATGAGGTTTTTTATTGGTGTTTATTATGATCCTAGAAATGGTAACCTAACCATTCGGCTAAAGAAAGCAAATCACAACATAGGAAAACAATATAAAAGAATCACAATCAATTGGTATAAGAAAGTAATGAAGAGCGAGTAAAAAGGTAAAGTGCAGTAAGGTAACCTAATAAGAGTCGGGCACATAATATGACACAGCCTCGTTATTAAGCCCGGGACAGCAACCTCCATGAGCTTAGTTCAAATCAAATTCAATTTTCTAAAGAAACTAAATTTCTTATATCTAAACTAGAGAAAGTATCTGATCAAAAAACAAACTAGAGAAAGTCATGAATTTTCGTACGTATTATATAAATGAAAATAAATTAATTGTAATGCTAAAATCTAACAACCTAAAAAGATTTATTTTTCTAACCAATTTTCTAATTTTTCTTCTATTTTCGGATTTATTTTTATTTTTATTTATTCAGAAATGCGGATAATGCCTAACAAGGATTCCATAAGGGCGCAGGCCAGGCCTTTGAGCCCGGTCCGCGTATCACAATCGAGGATGGACTTTGCAAGTCCAAGTAGCAATCACCTTCGACCACCAGACCGACGCCATAGCCATCGTCGGCGGCGAGCCGACTAATATAATATGGAACAATCAGAGATCGGCCATGGTGCACATTAATAACTTTGGCTTGTTCTCCTCTCCGACGGCGGCCATTCAATCACCGCGAGAGCACACCGAGCACCAAAGGATCAAAAATGAAATGATCAGATTCGTCTTCGGTGATGATGAATATGAGTGAGAATAAGTTGGGAAGATAACAAATCAATCACTAACAAGCTATCTATATCAACATGTTGAGCACATTTTCAAGTCAGGCAAAATATCGGACCAATTTGGATTTATATTCTCAGAGGCATTTTATCAAGCACGTTATATGCAATCAGTGAAGGAATGACAGAAAAGCACAATGACCCTTGATTAGAGTCCAAATCCAAAACAAAATCAGCCAACGATGTCTGTAATTGCTAAAAAAAATACACTCGAATAGATGGAGTCGATTCCAGATTGATTCAGAGTATATTATTCGGTTCTTTTCCATTCATCAAAACAGAGTATAATCGGGAGTACCTGGTTTATCAGTGACGCTCGATTTGGTGACGGGAACCCTCACCACCGTCTACGAACAGAACCACAACTGGCGATGGAAATTTTTAGACGAGATCTCAGATCTTCAGTTCTCACCGACGGAGAACAAAGAGAAGCAGAGCAAGAAATGCACGTCTGAGGAACGCTGAGGAGCCGCGGCAATGAATGCTTCAATCAATATTCAAATCGTTCAAGCTTTCGGCTACAGCGAGAAGACAACGTAGCTTTGAACTACATCTTCATGGACAGTTAGCAGCGACCTCGTCTGGTTCCCTTGCGCTCCTTTCAACTGCATCCTCTGCGAGGGCAAGCCCAACCCCAACCCCAACCGCCACAACCCCGTCGTTACCCTCAACCTTTCCTCCACCTGCATGCGCGGCCGCTCACTCCTCTCTCTCCTCCTCGACCTCTGCGCTGCTGCTTGCTGCCCCCTTGAGTCCAACAAAATCTCCAGACTCTGCCTCCTTCTCTTGCCCATCCTTTTACTATGCCGACGGAGACGGCAGCTTCACTGCCACCCTGTATCGCCACTCCATTTCCATACCGAGTTTGCCGGCCGAGCCCTCTCATCCTAGGGCGGAAGGAGAAAGCGTTTAGCAACGACGAGGCGGGGAGTTCGTGCAGCTGAGATGCTCGACAACCCGAAGCATCCGTACTTCTACTGCGTCGGGCTGCAGGGGATATCCGTGGACCGGAAGCATATTCCGGCGGCAGAGAAATTGAGGGCTGTGGACGGCCACGGGAATGGCAGAATGGTGGTCGACTTGGGGACGACGTTCACCGTGCTGCCTGCGGGCCTGTACGGCTTGGTGGTCGCCAAGTTTGAGCGACGGCTTGGCCGAGTCCATAAGCAAGCGAGAGAAATAGAAGACAAGACCGGGCTGAGCCCGTGCTGCTACTACCACAACGACGCAATGACGAGCGTGCCTACTGTTACATTGCATTTCGTGGGGCAGGGGTCCAGTGGTGGTGCTTCCCAGGGGGAATTATTTCTACGACTTCATGGACGGCGGCAATGGCAGCAGGAGGCGGTCGCGAGTTGGGCGCTTGATGCTGATGAACGGAGGGGATGAGGCCAAGGCGGAAGGCGAGCCCGTGGCAACCATGGGGAATTATCGGCAACGTGGTTTTGAGGTGGTTTACGACCTGGAGAAGCGAAGGGTCGGGTTTGCCCGACGGCGCTGCGAGTCCCTGTGGAACAGCCTCAACCAACACTAGGCACACGGCTGCATTGACGTTCGGTCGACGGTCGACGGTCACTGGTCAGGGTCATTTGATCCCGGGTGAATAAGATAATTTACTCGTTTTGAGCGTTCCAAACCGGTGGAGGGGAAATGTGAAGTTGGTGTAAAGTTCCTGTTACTGTACACCTTCCTTTTGGTACAGCAGTGAAGGAATAGTTGATCAAATTAGTGAATATTTTCAGGGGAAAGTATTGTTGATAGTGTTCATATTGTAATCAATCGGAGAAGTGAAATAAATCGGATCGGATGAAGAGTTTTGATTATAGGACCTAAGAGCAACACAGAGGTGCAAAAAGAAAAAGAAAAATAATAATAAGGGTGTTATTCATGAATATCTTAAAGACAATAGTCATGATCACTGAACACGATAATATCGCGTATCAATACACCTTGAAAATTGAGTAATGCATGTTTCGCTTACTTCGATAAAAAAATCGTTATGTTTTCATAGCACAATGGGTGACCACTTAAAAAGATCTTAAGAGGCACTTTCTAACATTTTCCACACAATGAAGGCCAAGGTTCTTTTATAAGGCCTGTCTTTACTCCTATAGAGGAGCAGGAAAATTACCAAAATATTCCTAAACCTATTGTAATTATGCTAATTCAGTCCTAAATCTATTGCATTTGTGTCAGTCCAGTCATCCAGCCAATTTTGGCCGAGGACACTAACGTGAACACCAACCGTCCTACGTGCACGGCCAATGCTAATGAAATCATTTTTAATAATATTTTATTTTTTCAAATTTTTTTATTTTTTATTTTTTCTTTCCTTCCTTCTTTTACTTTTTTTTTTCCCCCACAATGGCCAACGAGGCCATGGCTGCCTTCCCCCATGGCCGCGCCTCGCGATTTGGGCGCAAGACAATCTCACCCAACCTCGCCGGCCAAGGGGCAAAGGCGAACATGGCCTGGCCAGCCGTGGGCAAGGCCACCTTCGCCCATGGCCCTTGCCTACTATGGGAAAAAAAAAAAGAAGGAAGAAAAGAAAAAAGAAAAGGAAAAAAAAAAGAATAAATAAATAAATAAAAATTCCAAAAATAAAATATTATTAAAAATTATCCACGTCAGATT